GGCCGCCCCATCAAAGGACTCTTTAACATCAGCCACAAACACATCCCAGGAAGTGTACTGTTCTGCATCTGGCAGCTGAGGTGTATTCACAACAATTGTGCCACACATCACAGATTTCTTTATCTCTGTATTGTCAGAGTCTATTGTCACTGGGGTAACTGGCCAATGATCAGGTGTCTGGTGCATGAAATCTGGCCCATCCTTCCACCGTGATTCCTTCTCTGAGCAGTTTGCCTCGAGTAATGTCATCGGCAGGATTTCTGTGTGTCAACAAATAGCCAGTTCTGTACATCTGTGAGATTCTGGATTTCTGATACTCGTGTTCCAAGGAATACCTTGTATCTGCATGATTCTGACTTCAGCCAACCAAGTACAGTAGTAGAGTCACTCCAAAATATCACTTTCTGGATTGGTAAAGTTAATTCCTTGCACAACACATCAGCTAGCTGAGCACCAGTGAGAGCTGCACATAGTTCTAGGCATGGCATAGACAGCTGTTTCTTTGGGGAAACCTTTGATTGCGCCATAAGGAAACTGACATAGATGTTTGCTCCTTCGTCTGTTGTGCGCAAGTATGCTACTGAACCATACACTCTTTCAGAAGCATCACAAAAGATGTGTAGTTGTCGGTCTGCACTTCCAGAGTCCACACTATGGGGTGTGTAACACCTTGGCAGAGTGACCATTGGGATTTCTTCTAGCTCCTTTTCCCAGGTCAGCCATCTTTCACAGATGTCCCCCTTTTCTATAGGGTCATTCCAGTTTCTCTTTGACTTCCACAAGTCTTGTACTATGATTTTGGCTCGTGCAAGGAATGGTGCCAAGTAGCCGATGGGATCATACTGACTAGCAAGAACCCTGTAGATCACTCTCATGGTAAGCTCTTCATACTCTGTGGTTCTGTGTTTGTAGGTGAGCTCATCAGATTCACAGTTCCAACTCAAGCCTAGGGCTGGCTCAAGGGAGTCACCCTGGCCGAAGGTAAGCCAAAGTTCTGTATTTTCCGATCTAGCATCGGACGGAAGGTCTGCCACAACGGATGGAATATTGCTGGTCCACTGCCTAATGTTGAAACCACCTTGTGCAAGCAAGTCTCTCATTATCCGTACAAGTTCCTTGGCTTCTGTTGCTGTAGGTAGGCTATGCAAGCAATTGTCAACATAGAATGATTCCTCTACAGATTTGAGTACTTCTTCATTGCCAGCTTTATGATCCGAGACATGTTTCCATAAAGCAAAGCTGGCACAACATGGCGAGCAGGTGGTGCCGAATGGTAGGACTTGCCATTCGTACACATCTGGAGGGCGATCATGTTCCATGTTTCGCCAAATGAAACGCAGAAGAGGTTTGTCACGAGAAAGCAGTCTTACTTGATGGAACATGGCTTTTATGTCTCCTGATATAGCAACTGCATGTTGCCGGAACCGAAGAAAGACAGTTGCCTGTTTATCCTGCTTGGAGCGTGTCACATGCTTCTCGGTGAAAGGCAAAGTGTCGATTTGCCACAATCGCTCAATGCTCTCAACAAGCATACACTTGGTGTTCTCTGGTCCAGATTCACTAGATAAACCCTGGAGGGACCAACCGAGTTTGGTAGACACCGCTATAGGCGCATTGATGGGTCCAAACTGAAATGGTTCATTGGGAAGAATGAGATGGGCATTGTCCGATCCAATGAGAATAGTTGGCCGAGCTCCATCAATGTTAGGTATTGGTAACTTTTGCAAATGCGGCAAACGCCTTTGCAAGGATTCAACTGGATATGTGTACTCGGACATACACAAGTTATCTGCAGTGAAGGCACCCTTAATCTTGTACCTCATGTTTGGTTTGCTGTGTCCATTACACCTGAATTGCTCCTTGTTGATTGTGGTAAGCAATATACTGTCCGGCTTTGCCTGAAGTTTTAGGTCATGAACAGTTGATTGTAACACCATAGTTCTCATGGAACCGTCATCCAAGATTGCATGAGTCTCCATCATACCACTTTTACCATAAAGCAACACTTTGACCACCTTTAGCATGACATTAGGAGGATATGAGGGTTGATCAGTGTACACTTTGTCTGTACTGACTTTCACAGAATACACTTTAGAGGCTGTCTGCTGTATAGCCTCATGCAAGACAGTCAAGTGCACTTCCTTACATATGTGACATGGTTTCTTGAAGGTGCACATGTCTGGCTGATGTGTGCGCCAACATTTCCAACATCGCTTGCCGTCATGTAACCAGTCATGTACCTTGTTCACTGTTAGTTTCTTCAATCCTGGACATATATTCAGGAAGTGTTCATTGCTGTTACAGTATGGACAGAAAGGCTTGGTCACGTGACTTCTAGCAGAAGATCCAGGTTTCTGTTCAAATGGTTTTGATTCCCTTGCATAGAATAAAGCCGTAGGTGCAGACCCCTTCTGACTTGTTCGTGACGGATACCTCCTGTCAGGTTTAGTACTCTCCATTTTGTATAGCGCAGGGGCCTGGTTAGCTATACGCTTTGCACGTGATTTTGTCTGCAGCCAGTCTGACAAATGACACAATGTGTAGGTCTGGTCACTGTCAGCCTTGAGGATATCACGGTTGATACAATGTTCTACAAAACTATCTCGATAACCTGGGGGTAGCTTGCCGATCAGGCGGTCAACATGTGACCCACATCTCAGTTCATAACCGGTCTCTCCCTCAAGTGACTTGAGCATACCGACAAGGGAATGGACTGATAGGCAAAACTGTCAAACCCAAAGTCACAATATCTTAGTGCTGGCATGTTCATGAGTATACCAATCTCACTTTGTACAAGTTGTCGTGGTTGACCATACTTGTCCTTCAGTGCTTGCAAGGCTGTTGTGAAAGGTTTTGGATCATGTATAAATGCCTCAGCTAGGCGCTTCGCACTGCCTCCAAGTTTGTCAAGTAAAACTTGGTATTTGTATTGTTCCGTAAGGTGTGGATGAATATTCACCAGATTATCCAGTGCCATCTTAAGCAAGGCAAAGTCTTTTTCTCTTCCACTGGTGAAATTGGGTAATGTTGGTCTTGGTATGCCATAAGATGAAGAAATCAACAGTTCGGTGAGGTTAGGTGTGCCAACCTGAGGTGTCATACCAGTAATCGCTGGCGGTTGTGTTGGTTGTTCGGTTGGAGGCAATGTTGGAATATCTGTTTGGAGCGCTTGATGCTGATGTGGCTGTGACTGTTGATATGGCAAATTCGGTAACGGAAACGCTTGCGAATCCAAGAACAATGGCTGGGGCACTACCATTGCTGGTGTAAAACTTACCTGGGGGTTGCCCCTTGGATATGAACCAATACCGGTACCATAACCCACCAGGGAAGGCTGCTGTCCAAGTACACCAGTGGCTGTTGGGAAAGTACTTGCCATGTCGTTTGTTGTGATTTGTTGGGCACTGGTTAACATCTGACCTTGAAAGTGGTCATTCTGTCTGTATACTGGCATACAAGTTGTCAGGTTACCAGGATTAGGGTTAATCCCTTGATGAAGTACACCAGGATGAACTCTGTCAGATGGATCTAGGCCCCGCTGTATCTGGTTCCCAAGGGTTTGACTGTCACCAGAGGGTAGAATTTGGGAGGTGTCAGGAATTGTAAGCTGCTCTGTATTATAAGTGTTACTTACATTGCCAGACTGAATGGCTTTAGGGTCAGCAGTAGGTGGGACCTGTCCAGTTACTGACTGTATTTGAATGTTACCATCAAAACTTGGTTGTTCTGTTAGTTCCTCTGGAGGTTGTACATTCTCTGCATTGCTGTTGGGGTCTTCATTTACCATGGTAGCAATTAGGGTTGCTTCAGCAAAGTTCTGTTGAGCTTGTCTCAGTTGTCTCTGTCTTGACAGTTGGGTATTTAGTACCTCTCTGCGGCGAATAGCGTCACGCTCTATTTCTTCTGTCCGTCTCTTAGCGGCATTCACCTCATCCTCAGCGGCTAAGCGTGCCGCATAGGCCTGGTCATCTAATGCCTGCAATTGCTCATCAACTCTGAAATCCTCCTGCATCCTAAGCACGAGTTCGTCAAGCTGAGCTCCTGTTCTTTGCTGTCTTACCACTGCAGACTGAGATTCACTTAGTCCAGATATCACAGAAATTTTTGAGGACTTACTTCTTGAACCAAGTGACCTTTCACTGTGACTAAGACTATGTGATCTGGAAGATCTAACAGTATTAGTATCTGGTTGTAACGCCATGCCTTCAGATGATTTACCTCAAAATTAAAGTATTTGAATCAGTAGCTTGTCGATATGTTGATGATGACGTGACAAAGATTGGCTGCCGGGCTTAGAACTTACAACACAGGTTCAACTTTGAATGACAGTTGCAGGAGTACAGTTCTAGAATCAGTTAATGTAACAGTTGCATATGGCGAACGTGACTTGGTAACAGGATATTTGGCACGAGATATATACTGTCTCATGATTGAATGTGGGGTTTACCATTCACTGGCGGGATGGGTAATGCGTACGTACAGCGCACTGTTTATATTTGGAATTTGGCGTCACCTGGTTATTGTATCCGCCTCGCGGGACCATGAAAACACGGTGCTTGGATGCACGGGCGAGGGCTGGGCGGTTCGTGATGGATATTGGACGCCAAGGCTGTTTTAGACACAAAACTGTTTTGGTCAAGCACATGGTCAACACTCCTGGCTGGAGGCTGCCGTTTTGGTACATATTGAAATTGGAAAATGGTAAAGGAAACGAAATCAAATATAACAAAAGTGGAATTAAACAACGAAACGAAATAATAGACATTTGGGCTCAAAACGCTTTCTGACAACGATGGGTAATAAAAACAATCAACTACTCGTGATAAGGAATGACAAATTATCTGTCCCTCATGAAATTAATGTTGAAAGTGACTTACAACTTTTATTTCACCTCGGACAGATAATCCGTCATTCCTCCTCACTCGAAAATTAGTGTCTTTTATGCCCCTGACCAGAAATAACATTACAGTAAGCAAAAGAGTAAAAACAGTTACACCTACCTTGGTCAATAAGATAGTAGCCGATGCCATCTGCTTCTTTCAGTTCCCCTCGATGGTACACCCGGTCCTTAAGGGTGTAGGAGAGGTAACAGTACCTGTCATGTTTGTTATAGAAGAAAGAGTTACATCTAAAGTCCTCCCGACACAGCCCAGCACATTGGACACGAGACACAGATGCGTTGATTGGGATGGCGTCAGAAACTATCAGTCCAGTAAAGCCTACAATGTAGTTAACCGTCACACATGGAAAACAAGACATATTTCAGGATAACCTGTTCTTGTTGCCCTTCTCTAAGAATGATATACCTTTAGTTGACAGAAGAAAACATGTATATATTATTCAAGGCAGTATGACAAAAATCGATTTTTTTCAATGCTTACGCAGATGGTATTCCATGCAATTAGAAGATGAAACTGTATTCATTGGCGTGTCTTTACGTTCAAACGCCAATCTAGATAAAATAAAATACTTAGCTTACAATCGATTCTGTTTCAAATGGAATGAACTTTCAATTGTCAGGTATGAAAAAGTATAAATGTTTTGCAAAGACAACTACGTCATGAACTTGAAGTGCTTTTGATAAGCTTGACTGAACAAAGTAGGAAGTTTTAAATTATTCTTTTATACATAATCTCCCTGCTTTTCAATACACTTCTTTGACCACCCGATCCCGTGGATAGTCACCTTTATCGGGATCGGGTGGTCAGGCTCGCTGACTTCGTTGATGCATGTTATCCTGTCCAAATTGCGTAGACTGATGCTCATGATATCAATCACTGGATTTGTCTGGTCCAGACTCGATTATTTACAGAGAGCCGTCATATAGCTGGAATATTGCTGAATGCGGCGTTAAAGAACAAACAATCTTTGTACTGTCACTGGTCCTCCAGCTTACAAAGCATAGATCTTCTTTTGCTTGGATTATTCAGCATCAACCTCTGGTTTTCCCATTTAATAAATTATATCTGATGATGTATCAAAATATACAGAAGTACTTTTTTATGCAAATACAAAATAGGTGCCAACAACAGCATTGTCTTGTAATACTTGTCGAATCATCAGCAATAACATGGACATAAATGTTACATAACAAAATGCCAAGGAGTGTGGAACGCACTTTGTAACTCTACTTAAGACAGAAATAGTCATATATATGTGAGTTGTTGAATTCCTGATAGACAATATCTTTGTTAAATGAGGGAATAGATGATATAGACAAGTAGTAGGTACCCCCATGGGTACTTTTTGTACCGCTCTCATAGCTGATCCATGTTTCTTTGCATACGAATCACACTGCTGCTACGAAGTTCAACCTCAGAATATATGGTACAAGTAATAACAGGAGAATAGCATCGGACATCATTTTGTGAGTGATGTGTCAAATTTGGAAATGTAATCCGTCTGTCTACAATATAACTTTTTGAAAACGTCACAAAGGTTTTGAATGTTGTAACCCTGATCAAGCACCTTTTGGGCAAGAGTCGTATGACGCCCTTTAATGTCTCTGTAAATAGAGCGTACTCCATGGTACCTCAAAAGTTGCGAAACGTAAATACCAAAGGCTCTTCATGGTCTTGTTGAAAGTGCTTTGTCACTTTGAATCTTTATGCTAAGGTCTAAATAGATAATATGTAGATGATATATAGTTCCAGTTAAATAGATGTCCTGGTGTCTTTCAAAAATGCCAAGATAAATGAGTTTCTTCACGTCATCTTGTAACCAGGTTTGAAAGGCAAGGCCACATCTGAGAAATCGGTGTCCTATCTGGATGTATGTATGGACGTTAAAAATAATGGCAACCTCTGTACATGTTATCCAGTTGTATGACAGTTTCGATTTTCAAAAAGTTAATTTCCCCTTCATATCAAACAATATACCATCAGCTCCAGCTCATGGCCTTAACATTCCTCAGTTGCATAGGCACTGAAGAGCGTGTGCATTTTATTCCATGTGATCGACTGTCCATGGGATCGGGTGGTCAGGCTCGCTGACTTGGTTGATGCATGTCACCGTATCCCAATTGCGTGGATCGATGCTCATTATGTCACAGGCTGCCATCTTATGGTAGGAGTAATACGGGCTGTTGTGTTAGGCAACAACGAACATTCTTTTTTTATGAAAATTGTTTCAATGGCAGTTTCAGGGCCGTTCAAAAAGTTCTTAGCCCGGCTAGCTTTCAACTATGGGCCACAACAAAGTGAACTAGTCAATGGAGTATCAAACATCAATAAAACGATCAGGATGTGACTTGTTTTTACAGAGTAATTGGAACAAAGACCAGTCAGCATTACCAAAGTTCCATTTTGATGATGTAGAAACATCAGAAGGAGTTATTGTATGAAGAAAAGTCGGAAAATGGTCACTTCCACAGAGGTCGTCGTGGACTGACCACTCAAATTCGTTTAGAAGTTCGAGTTAGAGTGGCTTTAGCAGCTGGAGGTGAATAGAAATGATAGTAATCATACTGCCTGATGTCAATTAAATCAGTTTTTTTTAAGTAAGTTTCTTATATGCATAGTGCTGATGGTTGATAATCCTGAATTAGTTATTGAAATTGTTCCTGTGCAATTCCTTTGGATAATACGAGAAGAGCTACTCATGATGTCTCAACTGGAGATCGTGAGCGGGAGGGAGGTCCATTCCCATGGACTGAGGGACTAACCTCCATATCTTGAGGTTCAAAGGGATTATGAACCTCCATCGTGGTTGTTGTAGGAGAAGGCTCCTCTAAATGCTAGAGTGCCTCAATTGCTTTTTATTCTTTTTTGGCCAAGTGGGCTTCACCCTGAACAGTTTGAATGTCATTGATTGTTCCTGGTTCTGAAGTGGTAGGTATGGCTGAAAGAGTCTCTGTTTGGGAAGCAGATGTTGTTCTGGACGGGACATTGTGAGATGTCGTGCTGGAATCATCTACAGTAATCTGTTATGTTGTTTGTAACTTTGATTTTTAATATTTTTGTTTCATGTTCAAATACAGGACAGGGTGTGGATGAGGACAAGTGCTTTCCATCGCAGTTGGCACATTTGATGTCATTTGTGCAATCTGAACTCTGCAATGGAAATATCTTGTCTTTGCAGTACAAAATTTAGTTCTGTGGCCGATTTTTTGACGTCGGAGATGCTTTTGGACATAAACCTCCACTCCGATGTTAAAGTAACCAACTCTAATTGATTTGGAAATAGTTTGAAAACGTGAAAAGATAAGTCTGGGTGTTAACAATATTACCTTCCTGCGTCTCTCTGGTAAAATGCTTTTCAGCATTTCGCCTTTCACCATGCAACTTAATAGTACCGCTGACGCATACTAACATGCATTAGCCATTGTGTTAGTTGAGGTTGATGCTGAAGCTATTGCTTCTTCGGGGCAGAAGTTGTAGTAGTCAATATAGTTGTTGAAGTTAAAATGGGAGTTGTGGTTGTGATAGACGTAGGTGCTTGAGAAGATGCTATTGTCACAGTGGTTGTGGCTTTTGCAGACTTTGTTGCTATTCCTGTCTCAGTAGTTTGTGGTATTCACACACCAATACGTACACAGCTGTGTTGACAGATTGGTGCAAATGGGCAAATGTGATTGGTTTAATGTTTTATTGCTTGCGAAAACGGACCGTGTAAAAACGGCCTCACATTTGGCCAAAACGGTCCTAGAAAAAAACATGACAAGAAATATAATAAAGATTAAACCTTTATTTTACCACTTGCCTCAACATTCAAACATAAAATAGGATAGATTATTACATAATTTGAAACACCATATATGGCACAAATACTTTATATACATATAGCAATACACAAATTGTCAAATATTTCACAAATGTCACAAACAATTTTTCATGTTTATTAGGCACATTAACATAACGTGAATTTATACTCTTCAAAAAAGGAAACGCGAAACGGATATTGTTGGCCATAAAAGCCAAATAAGCGGAATAAGAGGTGCAAAATGAAGAGATTAATGTGTTATAGTGTCAGTGACAAATGTCCCGGATCAATATGATCACAACAAGGACATGCAAATCATTATTCGGGAAACACGTACGATTCGGAAAAAAACGTACTCAGTGCATTAAAAGAAGGGCCATTGAGCTGCACGTGCAGCAGCACTATGGACGGTTTTAAAGTGCAGGGTTTTTGATTGCTTGGCATCTGCGTCAATCGAACAGTGACAGTTCAACAACATGCCAAGATTAACAGAAGTGCGAAGAAACAACGTCATAGGCCGCTTGCAGGCAGGGGAATCCCGATCTGCTGTAGCCAGGGTTTTCAATGTAGCGCCCAGCACCATCACAGGACTATGGGATCGGTTTCAACAGCATGGATCGGGACGACCACGAGTAACCACCCCCGACCAAGATCGCCACATCTCCGACTGCGCCACGTGAAAGGACGACCACAGCCACCTAAATCGCATTCCAAATACCTGGACTGCCTAGAATCTCCGACCAGACCGTACGAAACCGTTTAAGAGCAGCAGGTCTACGAGGAAGACGTCCTGTTCAACGCGTCATATTGAGTCGACAACATTGTCAACAACGACTGCACTGGTGTCGTCGACACAGGGAATGACCTCAAGTGCGTTGGAGAGATGTCTTGGTCAGCGACGAATCAAGATTTCATTTGGGATGAATGAGCACTGGTCTACAGACGTTGGGGAGAACGTTACACCGGGAACTGCGCACAGGAAGCTGACAGGTTTGGTTGGGGTAGCGTTATGATGTGGGCGGCTCTCTCTGATCAGGGGAGGACAGGTTTGGTCCATATCCAGGGCAATCTTACGGCTCAACGATACATCAACGAAATTCTCCTACAACACGTCCTCCCAATTGCAGCCAACAGCAACGGTGTATTCCAGCAGGGCAACGCTCGACCGCATACAGCACGGTACACAAGAGCCTGTCTACACAACATCGACGTTGATGTTCTCCCCTGGCCCTCCAGATCCCCGGATTTGAACCCGATAGAGCACAGGTGGGCATGAAATGACGTCAACCACAACCCAAGACGTTACAGCAGCAGGATTTTGCGTTGCAGGCCGAGTGGGCTACCATTCCCCCGGAAGTGATTTGACACTAGTCTCTTCCATGGGCAGGAGATGTCAGGCCGCTATGTTCTAATGGATTGTTTAACACCACACTCAGCAATATTCCAGCTCTATGATGGCGGGATTCCAACGGGGGCCATACGCGTTATTGATGGTTGCTGACGTTAACCTTGGACGTTAACCTATGTACCGATAACTGAGATAACTACAATCTCCACAACATTTTGGCTTAAT